TCAAAACTCTTCAAGTGTTAGGGCTTGAACTTCTCATCATCTAACCAAATCACCCACCAAATCAAACCAAGGTGAGCTTCATACCCCTATCTTTTGAGTTTTCATTGTTTTTGGGGGAGAATACAAGTCAAGGGTCTTGTGAAATCTTAGTATAAGTGCTTGTTTATGCATTTATGTTATGATTTATATGCTTAAAGTTATGAACTCCATCTAATGGTTCAAGAACTCGAGATTTTTAGCAAGTCTCAAGGTTTTGAACTATATATCACCAATTATATGTTAGAATACAAAAACTAGTATGTTTATGAAATATAAATCATAAATTGTTATATCAATAATCATAAGGTTTTGCTTCAAAAATGTGCTTAAACAAGTTGTTGAACATAATATTTTGAAAGTGGGTAAAACATGGAAATCATGATATTTTGGGGACCATTTTCGGCCACATATATATAAGGACCATTTTGGAAAATGGAATAAAATTTAAGAATTATTGAACATCTCAATTTTTAAAGGACCAAAAATGAAATTTTTGGATAAACAAGGGCCTTTTTGAATATGTTCATAAATATAAGTCTAAAATGAACATTTTAGAAGAAATGGACCATTTTCAATAATTCACCTAGTTTTGAACCACTTATAACACCTTTTGACAAATATGGGTCTTATTTGACGAATTATAAAAAGAAGGGCCATTTTTGCCAAATATCGATAATATTGGATCATTTTTTATAAATATGATTCAATGTGGATTATTTTTCAATAAACAAAACAAAGCGATATACCTAGTCAATGAGCACAATTATTGTTATTTATTAAATAACGGATTTCATCGATTAGCACAAGTATCTGTTGGTATTCTAGTCAGGCGCATCTCCAAGGTACCTAAATATATAAATATATTAGTGTACGTTTAAAGTCATGTAAAGATTTGTAACCAGAGTCTCCTGGAGGGAGAGCGGGAATTTGTGTATAGATCTATACGGGGTTGACACCCAGCACCTTCGCTGTTCGCTACAGCTAGACCGGCCAGTCTAAGGTGACAAATGTCTTTAATCGATTTGGGTACCTGAGAAACGCCAAGACAGGCCTCCGTCATATTAGTATGGTTATAACGGCTCACTAGAATATGATAATGTTAATTAGAAATTTATGTAGGGAAAACCTTACAAACAAATTGGCACATTGTGTTGACTGCCCCTATGCATGGTAGTGATTGTCTGCATTCGTTGTGTTGATCATCCACTTACATTGCATGGAATGTCCACAATCGCCTGTTGATTTCTCACACTTCACCAGTCTTAGGGTTTTAAGACTACCATTTTGTATATCATAAAATATAGGATTTTCTAGAGTAAACGATTTTATACGATTTCGAAAACGATAAACTAAAACACACATGTAACTATACTCAATTGGAAAACAGAACTTACGATTATTTTATACAAGAAAATATAGGATTTTCTGGAGAAAACGATTTCACAATTTCGAAAGATGATAAACTAAAATACACACATGCAACTATACTAGATAGAAAATAAGACTTACAACTGTTTTGATAAGAAAACACTGGAATTTTCTGAATTTCTAAACTATCACCAGTTTTATACGAAAATGTTTATGAACTCACCAACTTTTTAGTTGACGCTTTTCAAAACGACTTGTATTCTCAGGAAATCAGTAAGCAGGTTAAAGGGACGCGGATTCAGGATTATTTTGCTGTAGTTTGGAATTCATTTACTTATGTCTCTTTTGTGTAATTTGAAGAACAAACACAATATGTAAACAATGTAAGTTTGTTATCTCAATGTATGATGTTTGGATTTGCTATGTTTCATTTATATTCAATTAATATGATACTGCACAATGAAGTCACCCGCCTCCGGACTTTTCCGCCGTCTGGTCTGGGGGTGTGACAACATCTGCAACAGTTTTTGAGTTGCGCTTCCCACCTCTATCTATGCCGTTCCCCTTCCTCCGACCTCCGAACGACACATTTGTCGCTTCCGTTTTGCGTCGCTTCGGTCTCATTCCATGTATGTATTCATTTTTTTCGATTTTTCTGCCTCATGTATGCATTTTTTTTCTCCTCGGGTCTCCTATTCCCCCCCCCCCCCTTTGCTCCTCATAGTTGATATGTTTTCTCAACAACCCCATATACTTTGTTCATTTAGGGTTCTCCTCATGTCTCCAGGGGCTTTTGATTTATTGTATATCTGTTATTTTCACTTTTGAGGGCAATGGTTTCATTTTGGATGTTGATCTCTTGTGTCACCTATCTAAATTGCACCTAATTAGCATGAGATAAAGTATTCATTGTAAAGAATGATTGGGTACCTGAAGAAAGCAATAAGATTTAAGGATAAATAACACAGTAGATGTTAAATCTATGGCCATGTAGTAACGTTTTTGCTCTATGTTCCTTTTACTTGAATTCAAGCATATTAAAATCTAATTTCTTTCTCCAATTAATTATGAATATGAATTTTTTATACAACTTTATGCAATGAGGCATTTGAAGAAATGCAGATGGCTAACAACATAAAGGGAAGGGAGCTTGCATATTGATTATGCAATGAAATCCAATGGAATAAACATTAAGAATAAAGGAAACAATGAGTTTAATGCTAGAGCTTAAGTGGCAACATGAAGCGAATTCAAGAAAGAGATATATCAACATATGGTGTATGATGTTTGTTACTATTACTAACAAAGTTGGATGCTAGCTAAGAACATGAAGTTAACAATAAAAAACTTCATCCCGAACGATGTAAATAAATGTATTTGTTTTAAAAGGATAATTTTTAAAAGATTGTAAATATATATATATATATATATATATATATATATATATATATATAGTTTAAAAGGGTATTTTTGTCATTACCACTTATATTCATTCCATTCAATGGACTTGTCTTGCCTACCAAACATGGAGTAATGATTCATTTCATTCCATCAATGTAAGCAAACATGACAATGAATCGGTAATGATTCATCCTATTAGCTGGTACATTCCATTACATTGTCAAATGCATTCCTTTGTATGATATTTTGTATATTTTTATAATTATTTAATAAGTTTATGCGAATATTTTATCAACTAAACTATTTTATTCAACACAAAACATAACAGAAGGGTAAAATGATCATATCCTGCATTTAACACATTCAATAATTAAACAATATGGTTCCAATGAGAAGCATATTTAAGCTCAAAATAAGATCTGACACAGGCAAACAATGAGATAATGAATTAAAAGGGTAATATATTTTTTGATTTGTACACATTTGGTCATTGAGTTTTTTTTGTCTACATTTTCCCATTTAACTTGTTTAACTGTATAAATTTGGTCCTTATCACCGGCTACTCCAAGTAAGCCCGAAAAAATGTTTTAATAGGTTAATATATTTTTCACTTTATATACATTTAGCCCTTAATATTTTTTTGCACATTTAGTCATTAATATTGTTTTTATTGGAAACTACGTCCTTATTGTTTTGTATATATTCAGTACTTGTGAGCGATATCTTTACGTTTTTCTCACGGCACCCTACATAGAGCAATCATTAATGAGGTGTTTGGGGTTGTTCATGTTCTGAACGTCGTAACTTCTTCATACGATCTCAGATTTTAACGATCTTTATATCTACGCGTTCGTATTTGAGTCTACTATAACTTTCATTTAGATTACTCGCATTAAAAAGTAAGATATTTTTACTTACGATTTTATAAAAAAAAAGGTTCATACATACATTCATAAAGAACGCATGTATATAAAGATCATAAGTAAAAATATATAGCTTTTAACGGGAGTAATTTAAACGAACGTTGTAGTAGACTTAAATACGAACACATGGATATGAAGATCGTTAAAATCTAAGATCATATGAAGAAGTTACTACGTTCAGAACACAAGACCTAAGCAACACAACAACTTAGATTACTCCCGTTAAAAAGTAATATATATTTTTTTAATTACGATTTTATAAAAAAAACGTTTATACATATATTCATAAAAAATGCATGTATATAAAGATCGTAAGTAAAAATATATTACCTTTTAACGGGAATAATCTAAATAAAAGTTGTACTAGACTCAAATATGAACGCATTTATATAAAGATCGTTAAAATCCGAGATTGTATGAAGAAGTTACGAAGTTCTGAACACAACAAATACGAACGTATGGATATAAAGATCGTTAAAATTTGAGATTGTATGAAGAAGTTACGACGTTCAGAACACAAGACCTAAGCGAAACGCAATACTTAAGCAACCATGAGGAGGTGACCATAAGCATGAATAACCCCGAACACCTTTTTAATGATTGTCGCACATAGGATGACATAGGAAAATCCTAAATAAATTGGTCATTAGTATTAAATGTGTACAAAAACAGCAAATACTTATTTTGCAACAAAAAATATTAAGGATTAAATGTGCAAAAGAATATTAAGGACTAAATGTGGACAAAGTGAAAAATATATTACCCTATTAAGTAATTTTTTTCCGGTTTACCTGAAATAGCCGATCTTAAGGACCGAATGTGTACAATTAAACAAGTTGAAGGGCAAATGTCGACGAAAAAAAAACTCAGTAACTATATATATAAAAAAATTGAAAAATATATTACATTTTAAAGTCATTATCCCTCTAACAACCTAAAGTCATTAGCGTGTTCGACACTCAGCTTTTGGAAGCTTCTAGCTTCTAGCTTTTAAGAAAACGCTAGTTAAAAAGAAAAAGTCTCGTTCGACGACAGAAACGTTTAGCTTTTAGCCTAAACAAAAAGCTCAAAAATCAAAAGCTGCATGGAGTAGCTTTCAACAAAAAGCTCCAAAATCAAAAACTACCCGTTACCCGCTACCAGCTACCCGCTAGTTTTGCCTACCATCCCTAGATGAAAAGTAAATTACTCGGTCAAACAACCCTGGTCATTATATCAAGAAAACTAAAAATGGATTATTGAACCCTTTAAGGAGTCATCCGGTTATAGAAACCTTTCTTTCTCTCTATTATATACATATAAATAGCTCAAGCTTTGATATCTACAAGAAGATCGTCAACCACTTTAAAAGGTCTCCGGCGAACGAAGAAAATGGATCGTTACGCAATCCTCCTTCTTATTGCTCCCTTGATCGTCGCAGTGGTTCACGCCCGTGTCACGGCGGATGATTTCATCAGGTTGCCGTCGGACAAACTTGATTCCGTTGCCGTGGAAGATGACTCCCTTGGTATACGATGGGCTGTATTGCTTGCTGGATCTAATGGCTACTGGAATTACAGACATCAGGTTATCCTAGCTCCAAACTATTTACTAGTTTACTTGCTAATTTGGTCCTGTTAACTAATTGGTTTATCCATGACAATTAAACAAAATTTCGACGCTGATTGAATTTCTGTGAAGGATTATTTAGAGAAAATTCAATCTACTCCTACATATAAGTGTATATAGAGGTTAGTCTAATTGGCCAGTTTTGGATTATGTTATGCTCTGACAGCTGTCACTTTTTTTCTATTGTATTTGGTACATGTGAAGTTACTAGTTTACTGGTTAATTTGGTCCTGTTAACTGTCATGCTGTTGTATTTTCTTTGTCCTGTTAATTGATTGGTTGCCAAAATCAATCTTTTGAAAGTCATGCTTGTAATAAGGGCTATACATCTTTATTCAGTCCCACATAAGTGTCCTGCTAGTAAGAAGGTGAGATTGATAAGTGAGGTGTCATGTTCATTCATCTTAGGCTCACCTGCTTGGCTCTGGTGTTACCTCTAACCTCTCTTACCTTGGCTGTGGGAGCTGTTGGTGGAGACAGCCCTTTTTACATCCCTATGCAACTAGAATATATGTAGGTCACTTCTTTGGTCCAAATAAACATAAAGAGTTAATTTATAGAGAACATCAATCATGCTACAAAACTTACCACTTTTTTCCTTTCTCAATGAGAGAAGCTAGGATGTTTATATGAAAAGAAGTTGCGGCCTTATGTTTATGCTCTTATAGATAAAAAAAAAAACATTAGGATTTATAAGCTATATTGTAACAACCCATCTCTGATGGAAAAAAGAGTGAGGATGGTTTGAAGTGACAGATTCGTGTAACGTGGATAGGCAATGGCCATCATGGTTTTAAGCTGATGAACAGGTTATTGGGATGATCTCTCTAATTTTAGACTCAGGGGTTACAAAATGGTATCAGAGACAGTAGTAGCAGCCTCTGAATCCCAAGACTCACAAGGGACATTATGAGTTCCCCCCGTCTTTCATGTTTCACAGCTCAGGGAAATCATACAGGTCAACCATTGTTATTTTACCTTTTTAGTAGTCTGTTGTTGCTGAGCTGCTATTAGTAGTGAAAGTCAGGTTAGTGTTTTGAGAGATTGGAATCTTCCTGGGAGGGTCTAGCACCTCGAATAGCTAGAGAGTTTTTTTTTTATCCTTTCTGGCTTATTACTTTTGTGTTCTTGTGTGTTGTTTGCTAAATCTGAGCAAGGCATAATAGCATCTTCCTAGGTATTGATTCTGTGTGTAAGCATGCTACCAATAACTTCCGTTATGGATTTAGGATGATTTTTTAGGTTATAAGACTAGTCCCAGTAACATTAGGCATGTTCCTGAAGTTTGGAGCATCATTTTTGTCAACAAATGCAGAAAGGTTGAAATACTGGTAGTTGAGTTTGCTGTTTGTATAAAAAAAAAATATACATCTAAGCTATAGATGAATGGGGATGTGGTGCTACACAACAGATGAAAGCTGTCTATTCTTGGTAAAAAATTTAAATAATTTATTTTAAGATGAAATTGATGAGTTCCGAAAGTTGCTGGCGAAAGGAGATTATTAGCATTGGAACGATGGAAGAAGAAGTAGGATTAATTATATCGAAATGTGTTATTTATATGCGAAGAATTGTTAATTTTTTTACCCATAATCGATGAGTTCCAGTTGCAAAATGGTGTGATGTTTAAATTCTGTTGGATGATTATTCTGTGTTTGTTTGTTGAATAATTAAAAAAGGCTTCATTTTTGTTGTTCAGGCTGATGTATGTCATGCATACCAAATCTTGAAAAAGGGTGGCATTAAGGATGAAAACATTGTGGTTTTCATGTATGATGACATTGCAAATAATGAGGAGAACCCCAGGCCTGGAGTCATTATTAATAGCCCAGATGGCGATGATGTATATCATGGAGTCCCAAAGGTTTAAAATTTTCTTTTGCACTCACTCACTCATTTCTTGGAATGTGAGAGAGAGATATTTGGTGTTTGCAGGATTACACTGGGGAAGATGTGACTGTGGACAACTTCTTTGCTGTTCTGCTTGGAAATAAAAGTGCAGTTAAAGGGGGAAGTGGAAAGGTTGTGAGCAGTGGCCCAAATGATCACATCTTTGTATATTATACGGATCATGGTGGTCCAGGTGTGCTCGGTAAGCTTCTACTAAATTTCAAAAAAAATTTCATATGATGGTCACGGACTTGGAAGTTGAAAAAGAAAACTTTATTGTTGGACTATTTTGAAGAGACCGCACCTCACCTTAAGTAATGCTTATGATATACATACAGATTTTTGGAACATGCAGTGTCGGATGATTGTTTTTTTTTTTTTTTTTTAATTCATACTGGTTAATAACATCTTCAGGGATGCCAACAAATCCTTACATGTATGCTAATGATCTGATTGAGGTCTTGAAGAAAAAACATGCTTCTGGAACATACAAAAGCATGGTACGTTTTCCCCTCCTTCAACATCAAATGAGTTTTTAATCCAAAAAATTGTCGTCTGTGGTAAAAGACGTATTGTCAAAAAGAGTCCTAGAGAGCTTGTCCAGTGCTGTAACAAATATTATATATATCAACTTTTTTTTATGATGAATAATATATGATGTGCAGGTATTTTATCTTGAAGCATGTGAATCTGGAAGTATATTCGAGGGACTTCTCCCTGAGGGTTTAAATATATATGCAACGACAGCATCTGGTCCAGATGAGAACAGTTGGGGTACTTACTGCCCTGGAGATTATCCCAGTCCACCTCCAGAATATGATACCTGTTTGGGTGATTTGTACAGTGTTGCATGGATGGAGGACTGGTATGTTTCTTTAACAATAAACTAAAACTTTAGTTTCTAACTGTATATATATATATATATATATATATATATATATATATATATATATATATGTGGAACCCAAGATTGTCTCACCAAAAGAAGCCCTTGTACAGAGAAGGGGGACTCCAACATATATAAGACCGTGTTGCACCGATGTGGGATAGACTAACACTACCCACCCACCCACCCACTCCTTAGAATGTCAGTTCCATTCCGTTCCTCTGTTGGAATATTCACAAACTCCCACTAATTTCATTCAATTCAATTCCAATCCTTTCATTTCTATAAATTACTTAAATACCCTTTCTATTAACATTGTAATATGTTTGTCTCTTCTTTCTATTGTTAAAATTTTGCAATTTCTTTTAATTTTCATTTGTAAATTGATAAATTTATGTTAATATGTGTTTTGAAAAGGTTTCATGAACAAGACGTTAAGAAAAGGGTTTTATCTAAATATTTCAACAAGTTGTGTGGAAAAAGTGCAATTCTGTTGTTTATTTCTATTTACAAACCAAAGAGAAATATTCAAAAGTTTCCATTGCGTTAAGCAAACTTTCAGTTCTGTTAACTTGCAATTCGTTTGATGGATTCCAATTGTGTTCTCAACATTATGCGAACTGAACTCCCTTTTGATGTTTGTCTTGCCAAGTTTTCTCTTAGATCTTGTTTGAGACACATCAAGTTTTCCTAATGAGAGACGTCATTTGATTGGACATAACAAAAAATGTTTGGCTATTGATCATATATCTAAAATGCTCTTAAGAAGGACAAAACTAAGAAAACTTAGGATCAAAAGTAAGAGCTACAAATATCAAATGGTGATTGTTAATGGAGGCAGACAAGTCTCCGAAAAAGAAAATCTTGCATTTTTGGGGGATGCCCTCCCTACAAAGAATTTATTTTAAGTTGGTCATATCCATATCCATATCCATATCCATATCCCTGTCCTGCCTAACTGGTTCTCTCTCCTTGTTGATAGTGATGTACACAACCTGCGAACAGAAACAATCAGGCAGCAATATCATCTGGTAAGATTTCATTTTGTTTTCAGTATACAACCTGAATATGAATTAGAATTATATATGTTTTAGATGATGTAAATAAAAGGGTTAAACAACAAAGTTTGCTAGATTTCAATTTAGAAGTAAAAGATTGAATATTTTTACATGTAAGGTTTTGCATAATTCCTATTAGTTGGTACATTGATTTGATGCAGGTTAAAGAAAGAACCTCAAATGGAAATGGTTATTACGGATCCCATGTAATGCAGTACGGGGACTTGCAGCTTAGCAACGATGAAGTGTACTTGTATCTCGGGGCAAACCCCAAAAACCAAAACTTCACATTTGTTGATGGGAAACCATCAAGATCAAGATCATCATCTTCTTCAAAAGCTGTCAACCAGCGTGATGCCGATCTCTTACATTTCTGGCATAAGGTTTGTCCTTTATTTAGTTTAGAGATTTGGTTTGGTTAGTAATATAAGCTGTCCTGGTGTTGTGTTGTGACTTGTGACTTGTGATGTGGCAGTACCGCAAGGCTCCGGAAGGATCTGTTAGAAAGATGGAATCCGCTAAACAGTTTGCAGAAGCAATGTCTCACAGGATGCACATTGACAGCAGTATAAAACTTGTGGGGAACCTTTTGTTTCCAATGGAATCCAAGCTGCTCCCACCTGCACCTGCAGGCCAACCTCTTGTCCATGATTGGGACTGTCTTAAAACATTTGTAACTCTTCCCCCTCCCCCTCCCCCTCCCATTTTCATTTCATTTTATTATTACCTACTCTTTGATATATATATATATATATATATATATATATATATATATATATATATATAGATGGAAAAAAAATGGTTTCTTTTTCTTTTAAACTTTTCACTAATTTGATTAAACTCCAAATTTATCTTCTAACCTTAACTAGAAAGTATATATATATATATATATATATATATATATATATATATATATATATATATATATATAATCTTACTAGTTGTGTGACCCGTATGTTATACGGGTTGGATAAAACAAAAATATTAAATATGAAGGGTTAAACAAAAATTTATTTAGATTTGAAATTTAAAATTTAAAATTTGAATTTAAAAGGAAACATATTAAATACTATATGAGTAGGTAATATTGTCATTTATTGGTTATTTTTAATTAAGACAATTATTAATTGAGGTGTAAATATGATGTGTTAATTAATAAAAGATAAAAAAATGAAAAAATGACAAATGGAAAAACATTTATTCAAAAATACCAAAAAATGACATGTGTCCAAGTTAATGAGAAGGTGACATGTGGCAAAATTATTTTCATTTATTAGGGAGGATTTGGGTAGAGTGAGCTTGCTTTTTATGTTTAGTATTAAATAAAAGTTCCATCATTGCTATTAAATAAAGGTATAAGACTAGAGCTAAACAAACTATTTACATATACTATAAAAAAAAATTATATGAAAATTCATTCCATTACTACATTTGAAGCTAAAAAGTACTTATTTTTTCCTTTCTACACTTTCAATTAATAGTTTATAGAGCATATTGTTTGAATCTCTTTTTTTCTGAACAGAATATCTTGTGCACTTTCAGTTCTTTTATAGCATCCTACTTTACTTTTTTGTTTATTACATAATTGTAGTTTCATTTTTCCTTATTTAGGCTTTATCTTCCTAATTACAACATTGTAGTCCGGTTTTTTTTAGGACATTTAACTTAAAAAAATCTAGTTATAGGTATAGCAATAAACATATCATTGGTAGATGAATTTGTATCTGATGTTTTGTATGAATCAGGTGAGGAGTTTTGAGACACATTGCGGGTCCCTGTCACAGTACGGCATGAAACACATGCGTTCCATAGCTAACTTTTGCAATGCGGGGATCACAAAGGACCAGATGATGGAGGCGTCATCACAAGCATGCCCCACTTTTCCATCCAATTCTTGGAGTTCGCTAACCAATGGCTTCAGCTCTTGATATTAGATTTCGATTTAACAAAAATAGCTATCATTGTATTATTATTGTATTCATGCTTTCAGTCTTTTAACTATAACTATATACATTCCGTCTACTTTGGTTTGGTGTGGTGTAAATTGAAAATATTCAGTCCTTTGTACATACAATATTGAAAGCTTGCATGTTTGCCCTTGTGGCAACCATCTATATAAGTCGGGTCGGGTAACATTTTGAATACTAAAGCATATCCTTCTAGGGGACGGGTCTACCATGAAACTATCTATGTAATGCCTAATTAAGGTGTGTTTGGATTGTTTCCTGTCTTATAACCCAACTTCATAAACATTACTTACATTACTTAATACAGTATACAAATTTGTATCAACAGTATTCAACCCAAACACCTAATTGTTAATTAGAAGCCAAAAACAAGAAATCACCAACTTCCAAAGCAGAAGAATATGTTAGACATGGTCTTAAAGATAGGAATTTGCTGCTATATAATCGCTTAGAATTTCGAATACTTTCATATATTCAAGTTATATTAACAAAGAAATGCATACATTGTCTTGTAGTAGTAATCCCATCTATTTAGTGATTATTAAGACCAACCCTATTGCCAACGGAATTGGGAAGTCGGTCATTAAAATAAGTTTAGAAAAAAAAAATTCTTTCAGAAAAAAGTCTCGTGCATGTACCAACTACAGTGACCGAGTACCTTCACATCATTCAAAACGATCTTTGCATCATATTCACTTATCAAAAACACTTTTCTAATCACTTAGCTGTCGATGATCATTTCATGTACCAACACTTCCCCCCTAAGTGACCTCGCATCAATCTTCTCACTTCAACAGATTGAAGAACCTCAACAAGAACTTCTAAAATCTTCTAACACCCATCAATCATTCAATCCTTTCTCGCAAGTGATCCTTCACTTCAGTTGAGTTGAGGTGCAGGTAGATCTATTCACCGCATTGAAGATTCCTTTTAAGTGAGTGTTTGTGCATCTTGGAACTTAGATGCAGGAAGGAACTTCTTTTTGGTAGACTTGTTTTCACGAAATATGAGACAAAGATCTGGATGGTTGGTAGCACTAAATTTGAGTTCTTGAATGCCTTCGCCTAAATATTGAACTCTCAAGTGGAAGTAACTCTACAACATTTGAGAGGATTCCATTTAGATAAACATCAATGGAAGCGAAGTCAAGATGTAAAGATTTTAGAAAGTCGTAAACATTAAAGTAAACTGGCTTGAAGTGATGATACTTCTCAATCTCCCCATGAAATACCCTGGCAATAAAGAAGATCTCTTTAGGGTTCATGTTCTTAAACTCAGCTTGGGTTCTTCAATACTCTTTTCCATTGCACTCAAGTCTATACTGGTAGAAGTGTGATCGTTTGAAGGATCTTCTTTTGTAGTACTTCACATGCTGATCCTTTTCCAATGACCATACCTCCTTAGTTTCTTTTTGATGTTTGTTGTGGAACAAACATATTCTTTCAACTTCTAAAGGAAATCTCTTGGATTCAGGAAAAGTTAGATCAAACTCATCAAAGACTTAGAAGAATGCACCATTTAGAGATAGTTGAATGTCCCCATAGTTGTTCTTGTAAGGAGATGCGAAGGTGGAATGAGGAACATAATCTTCATCAATCAGTCGTTGAATGAGATTTACCCATGATTGGACTAATGTTTCGTCCATAGTGATGTCCACTCCATAGTTTTGAAATATTTATTCTATGAACTTTGCAGCTCTCTAATCTATTTTCTTTTGCACCGTAGTAGGATAATCAATATCCTTGTATTATGAATATTTGATCTCAACATTTGTATCAACTTGTATTGTGGTATGGATTGGAGGAGGAAGAGGGATTTATGTTGTCTTTGGTGGAGTGGAAGGAACTTCGGTTTGAATGATGTGGGAGTTTTCCCTATGGATTCATTGGATGAGAGATTGACTAAAGTCAATTGAATATGTGGTGAAGTTTGATCCGATTATAGTGGGATTATTTCATCAATCTTTCCTCTTTTGAGAAAGATGTCCCTGCCCTCTCCTCAAACTTGTTACCCTTCAAAGATTGCAACAAATTAAGAACTTTTGAGAATGATGATTGCGTATGGGCGTTTGTAATGCCCGGTCTCCAGGTAAAATTCTTAAGATATAAGTATTCTTGAGTTTGTAAGCTGACCCAGTATGCTGGGTGTAATCATGGTACGTTGGGCGTACCATGGCGAGCTTTGGACACGAGGTTTCCCCCTAGTACGCTGGGCGTATATATGGTTCGTTGGGCGTACCAAATCCATATGTAAATCCTAAATTTTAGGGTTTGGACCCTATTTAAGCAACCTTATGCCCCAAGGTTCTCTCATTGTCAGCCTCCATTGTCCCTAAAAGAATAATCTCAAACCCTAACCCATTTTTAGAGATAATTGATCCTTGTATGTGTTTGGTGCATCTTGAAGAGGAAGAAACTTGGTGAAGGAGCACTGATCAAGTTGGAGCTTGTAGATCCAGAGTTTATTCATCCTTCTCAGCTTCCTAGAGGTATAAAGTCTTGACTTTGGCTATTCTATGTTTAGATTTAGGACTAGTTGAGATTTGAGCATATTTTGGTCCCATAAGTGAGTTCTTGTGGGTAAATGTTACTCCAAAAGATTTGAGTTGGCCCTTTTGATGTTTCTAAGGTTCCTAGTTCATAAAGTTAGCATCTTGATGGTTGTAGATCAACCATGCATGAGTTAATGATCATTTAATGGAAGTAGAATGCTAAATCTTAGGTTTGAGTCTCTTTGAGCCATGCAAAGGCATCAAGTTGGTGACCTTATCGTTTAAGACATTCCCCAAGAGCTAGATCTGTAAAATGGATGTATGGACTTAAAGCATTAAGTGCTTAATGGCGATTTGGAAAGCTGGAGTGTACGTCGGGCGTACATTGAGCATACACGTCTGAGTCCCCGTTTCCCTTTGGTAGCGAAGCTGTACGCCGGACGTACTCAGGTGGTACGCTTAGCGTACTCACCAGGCCCGTTCCTTTTTGGGTTTTAGGTCTCTTGGGCCTTGTTGGGCCTAAGGTATTCTGGGCTTGGGCCATGGGTTGGGGGAGCCCATTAAGGGAAGGGTAAAATGGTCTTTTACCCTAGGAGTCGAGATTAAGGATTCATACTCCCAGTTATGGTTTATGGTATATCTGTTAATTAGGGTTTTATTATTTGTGATTTCATGTGGGGATTTTCCATTTCAGCAGCCAGAGTGTTATTTGTTTATCAACGGATCGAGGTGAGTCTTCTCACAGTGTTTGGTGGGTCGAAGACACCAATACAGACCTATAGATTATTTTTATTAGAATGTTAGCTGTCTGTATGACTCTTGCATGGTTTGTATGTATTTGTATGTGTGTCGGGCGGGGCCCAATGCCAGGCGAGGCTTGTTGAGTATGTTGGGCAGGGCCCATCGCATGTTACTGGCAGATCTGTACTGGGCGGGGCCCGATGGAGGTCGGGTGGGGCCCATTGTATGTATGGTGTTTGGTATTTTGGGGGAAAGTCACTAAGCTTTGTGCTTACGATTTTCAGGTACTTCATGTTCGAAGAGGAAGAGCTCGGGATGATTATATTGCACACACCATGTTTTCCACATTATTGACTATGATATATTTTGGATATCGATGATATACTTTGATTTCCCATTTTGGTTTCTATGAACAAGTGTTAGTTGGATGTTTATCTAATATAAAAATGAAATTTTTGGTTATAAATTTTGGGACGTTACAAGTTGGTATCAAAGCCTTGGTTTGAGGGATTTGGGCATACTCTCAGGTGTGTCTGAACTCAAACTGAGGATTTGGTAAGTCTTTCATAAAAGAAAATGTTTTCTAAAATATTTTCTAATAAAAGAAAGGGGTGTGGCGCATGTAATCGACTGATCTTAAGTAAGTCTTCCCAAAATACCCACACATGTTATATGTTTTATGTTGTGATATGAGAATCACATGCTAGATTAGGGCTTAAGGATCTGCTCAGGATTGCATGATAGAATGCTAGGAGAGATGCCGTTATGTGCCTATTATATGACCTTGTAGATCTGCATGCTAGTATTGGATCAATTATAGAATAGAATGACATGTTTAGGTTATGCATTGATTCAGATTACTCAATGCTCGAATGTTGCGTGCTTTGTGCTTTTAGGCGTTCTCATTAATATTGACTAACTATTAAGCGAATGTGTGAGGTTACATACTATCGAGACTAGATAATTTTAGAAGGTTAAGTTTAAATCTATTGCATAGCTCTTGTTGGAGTCCAGCCGTTGTGGTGTGAGACCTTTCAGTCGAAGAATTATCTAGTATCATTAATATGTAATTGTATTCGTGAGGTGGTTAGGTGGTATTATAGGGAATTCCTTTTGCAGCTGATAGTGGAGAGTGGTGTGATGGTAGCCCTAGGAGAGCCTAGGAGATGTCTCAGTATAGTGAGTGTTTGCTATGTAAATGATAGTTCGGATTGATAGAAAAGTAACTTGGAGGATTTAGGACAATCTTCGAGGAAAGTACATATAGATGTGGAAGGTAGTATTGGGCCCGTACTATTGGAAGCAGAGGATCCGTACTCGAATACAGGAAAGTCATGATGGGACCAAGGAAACTTGTAGTGTTTTTGAATATTTGAGTGCTTCCTAATGGTTTTTTGGTTTATTTTCAGTATGGTGATCACTCGAGGAGGTTCAAGTTCTGGTGAGGGATTGGGTTCAGGCTTTGGACCCGGATCCGTGGATGATCAGATGCGAGAGTTCATTTCGTCTGATATTACCTGCAACATTCTGAAGCAGGCTCATGTGATCTTTGGTTCAATCAAGGAGGGTATTATGGAATTGATGGATGAGAGTCTGAGCGCATTCCATACTGAGATGGTGGATTTGGTGGGTGCATGCTCTTTGACTTTTCGAGAGTTTTGTGCATGTGGGGCTCTTGATTTCTTCGGGAAGAAGGACCCCATTGCTAGCAGACGTTGGTTGGCGGACATCAGGAACGCCTTCTGGTCTAGCCTCTGTCCCAAGTAGGTGAATGTTAGAATTGCATCCTGTCTTTTGAAGGACAGAGCTCATGATTGGTAGGAGGAGGTAGACCATGCCTTAGGAGGCGAGGCTATCGAGGCAACGACATGTGATGACTTTATAGTGAGGTTCATGGTTCAATTTGCACTAGTGATCGAGGTCCAGTAGTTG